GGAGAGGAGAGGAGAGGAGAGGAGAGGAGAGGAGAGGAGAGGAGAGGCGAGGCGAGGAGAGGCGAGGCGAGGAGAGGCGAGGCAGCAGACATGGCATCAGCTCATTTGGCTCTGAGCACTGCTGAGCATGAATATGAATTAGAGACAAGTGCCTGAGCTCTCATACTGACTTTTGTTTAGCTGCTAATCTGTTTGAATGCTAATGTGCCACATGCACATAAGCCAAATTAGTTTGGAAAAGGCTTATTTTCCTTTTGGTGGCTTCTAAATATTCAGAGCTTTGCTTTATTTTATAAGTTACTTTGATCTATTTTGCTCAAAATAATAAAGAAGATGTATAAACACATCCAAGGTTTAAAGTTCAGTAGCACACTGCACTATAACCTTTTGACTCTCAAATAAATTTAAAAAAATTGCTCTGAGAGTCTTATTTTGATATTTGCATTCAGTAGTGCCATAGGACACGAGTGGTGATATTTCTGTAAGATTTTGTTTTACCTCTACAGACAGAATAACCCTTAGGGTGGAGTGGGGATGTTTTTACTTTCCATGGGCATTTTGTAAAACTTAGCTCTCAATTCCTCTTTGCAGTTGTGCTATGCATTATTGATGAGCACTGATGATCCTTCACAAAACTGAGGAAGATGTTTCTCTGACATCCCAGAGTTTGCAGTCTAAACTCAGTGTACAGATGACACACTAAAGCTAAAGGAAGGTTTTTCAGAAAGACTGGGAGGTGCAGAGGAAGCATGCTGGGTTCTGTGGGCATTGATGGTTTAACCTTTTACAAGTATTTTGCTTGCAGAGGTTTTGCTTCTGCTTCCTAATACAGGTGCACACATCTTTGTGCAGAAAGAAATCTGTGAGTCAGCCTTTCACGTGTTGGTTTAGAGCCCAAAGGAAAATCCAGGGACTTGAATGTTCTGTCTAAATGATCCTTTCCAAGTTCAGCCATCATTTCTGTCTGGCTTTGGATGGATTATAAAAATCTTCATGTATTGCATTACATTTTGTTGAAATAAGAAATTGTGTGTGTTTTCTGAAGCTAAAGTTAAGAAACAATCAGAAAAATTTGGAAGCATTCATTGCTCACAAGAAACACTAATGGGAGCAGCACATTACAAACACCTCCTGATTCTGTACTAGATAGAGAAATTGTTAAATTTGTTTAGAGAAAATAGAATGCTGGATGACCCTGTGTTTCTTGAGTAGCACTTCAGTTCCTGCTAAACTGCAGAAGTAATGAAAAATTTGGTTTCAGTTTGGGTTTTGGCATTTAAATGGTGTTGCTGTGTTTAGGCTCAGAAATGAGCTGCTCTGGGAAGGCTCCCACAGGGGTGATGGACTCCCAGTGACTGATGAAGAGCAAATTGAAGTGGTGATGCTCTGGGAAGGCCAGGGGGTATTGGAAATGGTCTGCTGTGCTAGGAGTTTGGTTTTCAGCATGTTCAGCTCTCCCTAATATTTCAAATGTTGTCAGGCGGGGTAAGCCAGGATTTCAGCCAACATCCAAGCCTCACATGGTCTTTTGATTCTTTGCCAGCCTATTGTTCCACATGAAAAAGTGAGGGAATCAACAAATTTAGTGACACACAAGCGGCAGAGTTTTGGCATTTGCTGGTTTATAACCATTTGCCATGTCCTTTGTAGAGCATAAAAATTACATAAATTCTGGTTTTTCCCCAGTTTAAAATGTTTAGGTAAGGCAAAATGTTGTCAGAGGGAGCCTCATCATCTTCCCTTTTATCAAGACTCACAGAAACTCCTCAGCCACTCTCTGGTTTTTACAAATGATACCGACCTGCAGAAATGACATGAGCTCATACTTCAGCCATGATTGAATTCCTGGTGTTCCTGTCATACATGATTTTGCTCTGATCACTGGGTAACACATCTCAGCATAATGGTGGTTCTGTCTCTCTTCCCCCTTCGTTCAATTTCTAAGGATAATATATGTGGATTGCTCCATTAAAAAAAAAAAAGAAATATTTTTAATGTTAAAACTGAATCATGGATATCAGGTCATATATTTATGGTTGATTAAATATACACAGTGACTCTCATTTTTGTTATTAAAGATTTACTGATTTTTATAACTAAGCTATACCTAAATTATTTTTGAGTTCCTGAAATATATGTCTATTTCCAGTTCAGCATAAATTTCTTTATATTAGTTCATTGAAATGGTAACAGCAGCTGGTGAAGCCATAATATTTTATCCAGTGATGCCTGTGTCACATTTCATGCCAATTACTGTATCTTAAGAGACTCAGTTATATGAAATTTTATCGACAACCAGCTTGTGCTCTCTGGCTTTTAAATTCAGTATTACTGAGCAGAATGCTAGGTTTTTACATCAGACAATGTGCCTTTCAGTGGCTAAAATATTTCTAAAGAGGATGGGAAAAAAAAATCCTTTAACAGAATGAAAAATATTTCAGATACAGTTTTTGGATGATGTCCAGTTTCTACATTAAAAATGCCTTCCAACACCAGACGAAGCCTGAATCATAACGACTCATTTAATGCCATGTGCTCTCTGAAAGGAAAATGAGATCAGTGGTTAAATGAAATGCCCACAGATCCTGGGCATGGTGCACCATGATCAATAAAGATGATAATGCAGAGATGTGGGAGGACACTAAACTGGGCTGTTATTTAAGATTTATTTTGTCTTCCTGAATCTTTCAGAGTGCTCTATGGAAACAAGATCACGGAGATTCCCCAGGGCCTTTTTGATGATCTTGTGTCTCTGCAGCTGCTGTGAGTATGATCCCTTCCTCTTCTTTATTTTACTGACTAGCTAGATTTACTGTTCTTTCAGCTCCTGGCATTAATAGAACCACCTTTTCCACTGAAAACTCTCTGGGATGTGCTACTCTGTTGTTCCTGTGTCAGGCAAGGGGGAGGCAAGGGCTGAAAAAACTAAAAAAGGAAGGTGTCAACAGTTTTATAGCAGAGTGTGTATAATGGATAATAGACACGGAGGATTTAAGTGTGGGGAGGAAATGAGAGACTCTGTCCAAGAAAGGAAATTTGGTCACTGGCTGATGCGTGGGTGGGGATGCCATCTGATTGTTTTTACACATTTAGCACTTGTGGTTCAATGTCTGGATCCTTGAGGGCTTCTGTGCTGCAAGAACCTGCTGGGGCAAGCGAAAGGGCAGTGTGAGAGCTCTGACTGCTGCAGCTCCTGCTCAGTTCCACATTCTTGTGATGTCAGATGGAGCTCAGCTTCAAGAGAAATGATTTTACAATATATTGTTATTTAAAGTATTTTATGCCATGTGTGATTTAACTTGCAGTCATGATCAGGGTACGATATTTAGATATTCGTTATGTATTAATGGAGAAGAAAAGATTTTTCTAAGCCAAATGTGGAATTGCAAATTTCACTCACTTGGTCTCCATGATCACACTGGGAACCAGTAACTCCTTCAAAGGGAAGGGAATCATCAGCCAGTCAGTAGAGGGAGCAGCTGGGAAGTGAGTTTAGAGTATTCCTGGTGTTCTGGTTACCATAATGGATGATACACTCCAAAAATAAAGGTGATGTATCAAAAGTGAGTCAATTCTGGTTTATGTCACATACAGCACACCACCTCAAATGGTAAATCATATTTAATATAGAATATGAAGTAGCTTTTAGACATGTCCCTTGAAGCCTTTCTGACAACCCTGATGTAGCCAGCAATGACTTTCCCCATGATTATTATTGTCATTGTCACTGTGACTGCAGCCTGTGCTGCCCTTATATGGGATATCAAAGTATGCTTAGATTTACATCAGCATTCATGAGCAAAGCCAAGCAAGTGAAATGGAGTCGCTGAAATGACTCTCTATGCTGAGTGAGGGACTACTCAGATGTGCAATTTATCCCTAAGACCTTGATTGCAGGCATGGAGCAGAGCAGGGCAAGCAGGAGCCCCTTGGTCTGGCTGTGAGAGTGCCTGGGCTGGGGCACTGGGGAGCTGCCCATCACCTCATCCTCACCCTTTTCCTGGCAGCTCCTTTCCTCTCTCCTGCCCCAAACCTCACAACTGTTCTGGTACTTCAGTGTTTCCCTGCCTGGGCAGTAAGAGAAATTTTGGGGATGGTTTGCCAGGTATGAGGACAATAATTATGAAAGTGTAGAGGAGCTGGGACTCTTCCTGCATTGAGGAAAAAAACTGTGCTTTAAAAAATCTGAGATTTAAAGCCAACATCCCCAGCCCAAATATTTTACAGTTGCAGCTTTGAAGTGATACTCTTCAAGACTTGTTCTGTCTCATCCAGGACACTTTACAGATAGAATCCTTCCCAGGAGGAAAATATAAATAAGAAAATCACTCAACACATGGATCATCATGTCCCATAAAAATATGGGTCTAGAACTTCTGCATAAGGCATTAAGCAATTTTTAACTCCTTTATAGAACAGTCCTAGGCTGCATTTAGAGCAGGTCTTTAGTGAAGTGAATATTTAACACAAGATACATTTGTTTTTAGTCAGAATTGGCTCGAGTGATGCCTTGTTGTTAAGGAAACAAAATCTGTGTGCCAGGGAATTGCTGAAAGGTGTTTTGCTTCAACTGTTTAAACATTCTCAAGCTGAGACAATGTAAGTAGGTTGCTCTGTTTTGGGATTCCCAAAATACCATGACCCTGGAGCCTTCCAGGGTCTTCTTGAGAGTGTTTGTATGTAAAGTATCTTTTGGCAAGGAGAGCATTGAATGATCATGTTTTAAATGCAAACAAATGTCTGCAGCTTTTTGGATTGTGGCTTTGAAGCAGCTGCTCTGGGATTGCTTGTAGTATTTTAATGGCTACTAAAAAACAAAATAAATGGCATTTGTTGGTCTTAGACCTGCTGTTGAAGAACTGGAAGAGTGCCCTATGATTAGATCTAATTTAGTGTTCCATGGGCACTAGATTGGATTTCTTCTTATTAGTCTGGAGACACTCTGATAAGAGCACTCTGATTAAGGTATCCTGGTAGCCTGCCTGATTTCCTGAGATGGAGCAGGAGCAGTTTAGAAAATGTACTGGCTTTATGATAAAGCAGGACACAATGAGAAGAAGGGAGTCCTTGTGGGTGCTGTATTATTTAGAAGGAAAAAAACTATTATTTAGAAAGAAAATATATTATTTAAAAGGAAAAAATGATTACTATGACATTTCAGAACAGATAATATTTTTATTAATTGTTTGGATATAACTAATCAGAGTTTATCAGACATGTAATTATTCTCCAGTTTAAATATAATGTCACACTATAGGCCAGGATTATTCTGTATTTTGGCTGAATTGCTCTCTGTAAGGGCCTAACACCTTCAGACACTACCACTGGTGTAAGGTGCCCCATAGAGGAGTTTTCATCTCAGGTATGGTCACATCCTCAAGTGTCCTGTTTGACTTTGGTGTAGGGGAAATGAATTCAGAATAAGTTTTACATCACCTGGCTGGCATCAGCATTTCCACATTCCTGCCCTATAAGGCAGAGGTGGTAAGCCAGTATTATGTTATATTTGGCAAGAAAATTACTAGGCATGGTTAGATATTAAGGGTTTGGAGGATTTTTGTTGAGGGATTAGGGTGTGGTTTTGCTGGGCTTTTTTTAAAACCCTATGGGTTTAATTCAAAATGTTGTTTCTGAAGTTTTCATTATAAGTAACCACCTTAAGTAGTTAACATTCCCCACAAAAATATTTGCAATTGGATTTTTGTTAAATTGCTGATTTCACAAATCTTATGTGTTTCTTAAGCATGCAATGGTAACCAACAGAGCAGCCAAAATCATTCTTCAAGTCCAGCTCCACATCTGTTCTGTGGAGCAGAAGCTTTTCTTGGACCATGGAGTTTTCCTTATCCTGTTTGAAGGTGCCAGAGGAGAGGATGATAGAAAGCTTTGTAGCTACTGTACCCTATCCTCACACATTCTTCTTTTCAGCAGGCTGTATCAAGTGTCTTCTGGGAGTTTTAGGTCAATTTGAGTTTGAGAGATCTATGTTGTTTTCCAGAAAGGGATATCTGTTTCTTTAGCTTTTGTGGTTTTTTAATACAGTGAATGGAAAATTTCGTTTTATTGGGGGATGCATCCAAGCTGTGAAACAGTGTTTGATTAATTTAATTGTTTGCATTTCTTGCATTTAAATACCAAAAGAATGGCAAAGGCTTCAGCTTAAGGTGGAAGTTTTCTAGTGACCATTAGCTGAGGATGGTTAGTCCAGGAGACCTTCAGCTGACCTTGGGCTTTCTAGAAGCTGGAAGACATTTAAATGTCCTGCTCAGCTGTCCTTGAGCTCCCCTGGAATGTGGACAGGCTCTTGCAGGAGCCCCTGAGCTTGCCAAGGTGCTGCCAGTCACTGCAGAGGGGGCTCAGCCTGACCCTGCAGCTCCTTCCCTTGGGGCAGCCCTGGGACAGACAAACCCAGCCCAAAGCACAAATAAACCTGAGGCAGCCACTGATAACTCAGGTTTTAGCTTTTATATCCTCCAGATTCTGTTCTGCTTTAGTGTGTAAAGCTAGTGTTCATATGAGGGGCTGGTGAGCTCTCTGCACAGAGCAGGGAGACAAAACAATTCCTGCACCAGCTGGGGACCAAGGACAAATGATTCAAATCTCAGGCCCAAGAGCATAAATGGTAAACTGAAGAGAGAAAACAAGAAGGATGGCACTTCATAGGCTAAAGCTGTAATTGGACAATTAGCTCCAATATGCTAATAGACCAAAACTTTAAAAAGTGTGAGACCCCAGGACCTGTTGTCCATTTTTTTGTGGCCATTTTGGGTTGTGCTGCCCCAGGTGGATCCATTGAGACCTTTTCTTAAATCCCAACTTTATTCTTTAGCTCCATCTAGTCTCTGTTCTAGGCCAGCCTTCACAAGGCACCACCACAGGCACTGAGTTTGTGATATTTGCCATTTCTAAGCAGCACACTTCCCTCCCTGCAGCCAGATTAAAGCCAACATTCTGGGAGCCTTTTGTTGCAGCTGTTGTGACACTCTACTCCTGGAACAAGGGGCTGCCATCAAATCTCTGCTCTTTAAAGAGGCTGCAGAGCAGAATATTACGAGGGACGAAGTCTCACTTTTCAAATGTCTGGCAAGTATCAGTTTTCAATAAATCCTTTTCCTTGAGGAAATTGACTTTGCATAGTTGCTAATCATACAAGCGCTCAGGAGTGTTGATCCTAAATCTTCTGCTTGTGATCCCCGTATTTTACTGAGCAAGGAAAATCCCCATGGTGGGCTTTGTTTTGGTGTTGCTAAACATCAGGAGATCTGCTCCTCTGGTACATATATATTAGAATCAGAGGCTTGTTGCGTTTTTCTCCCAAAAAACGAAGCCAGAAGCTGACAGCCTTCTCCTCCCTCACCTAATATCTGGGCATTAGGGAAAACTCAAGGCTGCAGTTGAAAAAGACCAATAATCATTCTGGTGCCTGGAGTTTGACATATTGACAGATAAAGTGATGTCAAAAGTGGTGACAAATTATCAGTCATCTAACCTGGATTAAAATTGGAACTAGATATAATATTTACAACTCCAGCTGACCCTAAAATAGACTTGTATGAAGTGACAAGTCATGTGTGTACTTTCAGAAACTGCTATCATCAGTCTTCCAAAAATTCAACAGGTCAAATTTTGGTTTGAGTGATTCTTATTTTTTTGTAACTTGATTTTTATGCTGTTTTTTTTGTGATGAATAAGGCAGATACTTGGTATCCCCAGCTCTTTTCTGGTGAAGTTGCTTGAAAAGTATCTTCGTGGTGGATTTGCCA